TGTATGGGTGTGTGAATAATTGATATAATTATAATTGGACATTCGTTTAGACATATCAAATCAACATTTCTTCATTCTGCTGTCCACTGCCTGCATGTCAGACCCTTATAAACATCCCAATTGCCAAATATTATTAGCCATATATAATACGCATTTATGAAATTAATGTTTGTGTGTGAGAGCAAATTTAAAAGACACTTGCGGCTCAACTTGCGTGTGTTAATTAAATTTTACAGGCTAACTGCATGAACAGCTACGCTTACTGAGACGTAGTGTAGCCTATTTCGAGTGCAGGATATTAGTGTTTTCCTGTAGTGGCAGTTGGTCAAATATTACTAAATTAATAATAAGTAATTAAAAAAGTGAGTTATTCAGTTTGTGGATAGGACAACGACCTCCTTATAATAAGCTTAAATAATCAGTTTTCATTGGCCACTAACGTTATTCTGTGTGTGAATATTTATGAGCCAGATGTAGCTGGGTAGCTATGCCTACTAAATTGCCAGTTATCTCCAAAAAACAAAAAGCTTCAACATTAAAATGTGCTTTTAGAAATCACAGATATATCTTTTCTGTGAGGGCTGTGTTTAGGATAGGGGACAGATTAGTGCTCTGTACAGTATAAAAAAATCCTTAGGCCTGTGTCTAGTGCCGTAAACCGACATAGAGTAGCTCTATATGCTATAACAGATTATTTTTCCACACAATATAGGCAGTGCAACAGGTAACAATTTAGCTTTTGAGCAAGAAAGCACAGCACATCGTGGCATGATGGAGAGATTATAAGTCTATTATTATTATTAGACATTTGTCTGGGCATTAGGGACGGGGAGTCGACTCCTCGACTCTCAATGAACCTAGTACTGAAATCGACTTCAGGACAGGAATATGAGAGTTGAGTCTGTTTTTTTCAAATCCTCCTGAATGAAGCTGTTTTAAGCTGCAGTTATAATGCTCATTCTCGAGCACGATGAACTCTGAAGGCAATTATAAATTTAGTGCTGCAGAGAAAGTTTGCTTTCACTTTTAAATACCTATGAAACACAACTTTGTGCAATTTGGTTTTAAAGATGATCTGCCTGCGATGTCAAGTTTGCTGTGTTATCAATACAATTTAGCTCTAATATTTGGGCTATTCTTCTTGTTTATTTTGTAAATAACTACAAATTAAATACATTAAAATTAAAATACAATTAATAACAAACTAAATTCATTTCAAAAAGAGGATTTTTAAATACAAATAGAGACAAGGCTAAGTTCAAAAACAGCTCTGACTCACTCCTTTTCTTCCGGCGTATGCTGTCCCATAAACAAACCCTTATTTAACTACAATGAACAAATTGCACAAAACAAACAGTGATATTTAAAAGTAAAGTAATAGGCTGTTTAAAAGAACACATAAAAAAAAAAAAAATTTACAAGAGAGAGCAATATGATATGTTTTGAGGCACAGCTGATTTTATTTATTATTTTAGGTTTGTTATGAATTTCGTGTAGGGGGTTAATATTTAATCGGTCATTAAATCAAATTGAAATCTAGCTATATTGTTTATTGATCAGTTAGAGCAGGCATGTCCAAGCTCGGTCCTGGAGGGGCAGTGTCCTCCAAAGTTTAGTTCCAACCCCAATCAGACTGTAGGGATAGTTTACAGTTTAACCCAAAGAATGACCAGTCTGGTAAATGAAGAAGAGCCGGAGTCAGAGATTTAAATAAATAAATCAAGTTTACTGAAGATAGTTTGCAGTTTCATCCGCAGAACCCAGCTTCAACACTCGCAATGAGTTCCTAGGCCACTCTGCTTACAATCACCAATCAATAACAATTATACTCTCACATAACGTCATTAACTGCGTCATACATAAAGGTGTTCTAACCTGATTGGTTAAAACACAGATAGACTAGGAACATTTCCACGTGAGGTTCGTGCGTACAATTCTGAACAATATCTAAGCATAAACGTCAGACACCCTTTAGACTGATTAGAGCTGACTCCAGACCTGTGAAACGGATCAACAATCAAATAGAACACACACACTTTAAGTATAATCTGTTTTTTATCCAAGGCTGAGTGTACCGTCCGCCGTCTTTATCAAAACTGGTTAAAAACTGGTATAATCTACATTCAGGCAGTTATATTCTTACTACACAAAGTCTATCTTGAATAAAAAGTAAAATCACTTTAAAAGATTTAACCGTAAAACTATAGCAAAATCACTTTAGACATTTTAGACAGTATTAACTCCTAGAAATAACAATAGAAACAGTTGCTTCCAGTCCTCAGTTCCACTCAAGATCTCCATGACCTCTGATCTAGTTTGCTGGCTCCTGAAAATAGGTATAAAGAGACTGCCAAATGCACTGAACATTCTTATATTAAGCAATGTGTTAACTTATTCATTAATTAAAATCAATTCACAGTTAAATATTGAGAAACAGGATGATGAAAACGATAAACGTTGGTCCATGATGAGATGGACTGGAAAGCAGAAATCCGAATCCTTCAAGACACACCTGGGCTAGCTAATCAAGCTCTTACCAGGCTTTCTAGAAACATCTTTGCAGGTGTGTTGAGGCAAGATGGAGCTAAAATCTGCAGGACACCGGGCCTCCAGGACCGAGTTTGGACACCCCTGAGTTAGAGCATCTGTTGCCTTTAAAACAAATATAGTACTAAACAACCTCAGACTGTTCACTACACCAGATTATTTTGTTCACTCATACTCTGTATTCATGTATCAAACATTTATATTAAGAAGATATTAAGGGTATTTCATGATTTTTATTTAAGCGTTGTTTGGGCTCAATTGGGGTGTTTTTTAATTTGTTATTGAACTGCTGCTACACATCTTTTCATTAAATATTTTGATAATAAATTGAGGTTTTAACTTTCTGTCTCAAAGATTGCAATTTAATTTTCTAAATTAAAAAAAGTATAGGCTGATTATTATTTTATTTTGACTGCAGATGATTTAAAATGCTGATTTTGTCTGACCACAGGAGAACTGCTTGTATAAAGAACGATATGATACAGCATGTTTAATCCTTGCGCTATTTTAAGTGAATGTAAAAGGTGTTGATTCTTGAGCCGATTCCACCGACTCCAAAATTAAGAGTCGAGAATTAGCTGTCGACCCCGAAAAACCCAGAACCGAACCACCGCATAATTTAATAATCTAATATTAGTAAAAAAAAAGCGTAATTTTTGACAAAGAGAGTGATGTGCTCCATCGGTCAGGATAACCTTAATATCTTGTGTGCTGTGGCGCAGTTTTCATATTTTGTACTTTGCACACATTTAAGATTTGAGGTGGGCTAATAAATTTGCCAAAGATTCTCCTCATGTGTTCACAGCAACCAGATTTCATTATCGGTTAGGTTTTTAAAACTCCTATAGTCTGAGCCCAGCTCAAGCCCACCACCGCCCCCCTTCCTCTTAAACATCTTTCGGTGATAGGTGATACCTGACCAGCAGTTTCTTATCATTGCTGAGATGTGATTCCCTAAATTCTCTACTCCACTCTGTAAAAGACAAAGAAAACATCAACAGAGCTCTACCTGCTTGTTCAATACTATCTATCCGTTCGTCCGTCCGTCCATCCAAAGAAAATACCCGACTATCACTCTGTGAAAATATAAATATGTAAATTAAAATGTTTGATGAAGTTAATTTGATTCAACTTAAAAATGTAAGGCTGTACCTAATTTATTATGATGCACTTGTGATTACTGAGGTGTGTTTCCCTGTTTTTCCACATGCTCCGTACAAATCTGCCAAAGAGAAAGATATCAGGTCTATAATTAATCTCAATAAATTTCTTTGGAAACTAACTCCATTTTTCAGTCTGTTCAAGCAGTTCTACCTCTTTGCCGAGCTCCAGGTCTTCCAGTTTATCTCCACTGTTCCCCTTGTGAGTCTCAGGGGTAAAGCTCTACTGGGCCACGAGCCCCCCTCAACTGCACCCCACCCAAAAAAAAACATTTATTTACCCATATATAAATAGCTATACTGAATATTTTTAATTAAAATTTAAATTATATTATAAATAAAACTATTCTTTTCATTTATATTGGGTCATTTATTAAGTATCTGTACTGTATATGACATGGGCCTGCCAGTTAGAACTTTCTAAAGTGGTTTACATGTGTTAAATTGTAAAAGTAGACTTAAAAAAATAATAATAATAAATAAATAAATATCCTACTTAATAATAATAAGAATCATCATCACCATCATCATCATTAATATTATTATTAAAGTAGCATTTTTTAATTTCTAATAAATAATTAATATTATATTTCATTTTATAATAAATAGCCTTTATTATTTATTTATTTTTATGATTTATATGATATTAGAATACGTGTTAGCTTTTGTAAGTGATATGTTTTAGAATAGAATGTGTAATGTTCAACTTCTCAATAATATTAGTAAAGCAAACATTAGCCCTGTTTGTGTCATTTACATATATTTCAGTTAATATGGAAAGCGAGTGCATATTTTTACCAAATCTAATATTGAATTCTATTGTAAATGCGTGTGCGTGTATAATTTGCACAAATAAATTAAGTTTCTTTTCTCTAAAGAAGTAGTTTAGAGCATCATTACGGGCATTTTATCATAATTATAACTAATCTGGTTTAAGCGATAAATCTGCGACAGAGAAACTACAGGTTTTGGAAAACACTCGTCACTACATCATTCTTTTCTCAAACGATGCATCAGACTTTTATAGTTTAGCCGTGAGTTACTTCGTTGTTTGGGAAACGCAGCCCAGACCATCAGTTTCCAGTCATGCTGAGGTGCGAGTCCCATTTCTCCACAGGCCCCAGTCTAATCTGCAAAAGACAAAAACAAGACTAACAAAGCTCTACTTGCTGGATGATCTGCATCAATAAACCAAACGTTCTCCAGTGTTCCTCAGATAAGTATTAACCATTTTGCTTGTGAGTCTGACTCTTCTGCCTGTTGAAGTTGTAAATAATAGCCACAGACAATACATATATCTAACAATCTATGCCCACCACCACCCCCTTCCACTTGGAAGGACATCCATCCATGCACCTATTCATCTGCCTTTAAAGGATATTCCTGACCATCAGTGTCCATTGCTGAGGTGTGTGATTCCTATTTGTCTCCACATGCTGCACTCCAGCCTGGAAAAGATAAAGACACAACTAACAGAGCTCTACATGCTTGCTGAACTCCAGAAATGCATAAACTGTTAACCAGCGGTTTTCAGACAAATTTCCACAGATGCTCTTGTGAGTCTCCTTCTTCTGTCTGTTGTGTGTCCATTACAGGAAAAAGAAACACCTGCCGCAAACAAGACATTTATCTGACTTAAAGAGATTCCAGACAATCATCTAGTATGTACAAATGAAAGTATATGATTTTAAATGTTTTATAAAGTTAATTTGATTCAACCTAAAAAAGTGTAAGTCTGTATCTAATTTATTACGATGCACTTGTCATTACTAAGGTGCGTTTCCCTGTTCCTCCACATGCTCCATGCCAACCTGTCAAAGAGAAAGATATCAGGTCGTTATTTTATCTTAATGGATTTCTCTGAAAGCAAACTCCAATTTTCAGTCTGTTCAAGCAGTTCTACCTGCTTCCTGAGCTCCAGGTCTTGCAGTATATCTCCACCATTCCGCTTGTGAGTCTCCTTCTTCTGCTCCACTCCAATCTGCAAACAAACAAAGACAGCCCCAAGTGCACAGTCCACACTTCTTTTAAACAGTTAAATAAGTGCATCATCCAGGAATTTAAAGTGAACTTTTTAAAATAAAAGAATATTGTCAGCGCAATAGCCTTGTGGTCAATGCACTGACATATGCTGCAGTAGCACAATAGGGCGTCCCGAGTTCGAAACCCAGCTCAAAGACAATTCCCAACCCTACACCCTTCTCTCTCTCCCACTTCGTTTCCTGTCTCATTACTGTCCTATCTAATAAAGGCAAAAAAGCCGAAAAAAAAAAGAATATTTCAGTGTGAACACACTACTTACACCATTTACACTACAAAATGGCATAGAATAGTGTACAAGTATGTTATTTGGAACGCACCCATAGACAGTACTGACAGAGCCCTACCTGCTGTTCTCCAGCATTTTCTAGATAAATGTCCACCGATGCTCTTTTGAGTCTCCCTCTTCTGCCTGCTCTCCATTAGCTGAAAAAGGAAAAACCTGACACAGACAAGGCCTAACTATCTATCTATACCAGTGGTTCTCAAAGTGTGGTACGCAGACTTTCTTCTAGAGGTGCACGGAGGAATCACAGAATAATAATTAAAAATATATTATATATATTAAAAAAAAAATGTATATATATATATATATATATATATAAAAAAAATATAACGCCCTTTTACCCTTTGATGCGTATGATAACACAGATATGATCAGCATTGGTTGTTCCCTGTACTGTATGATCACACTGTTATGATTAGTATGTTTAGTGCATCATGTCATCAGATGCTAAGATTGAAAAAAACTGTGGAGCTCTCGAGCAGATCCGCACTAGTGAAGTGCTTTTCAGTTAATGCAAACTCAGGAGTTTCTACAAGCTGCATCATTGGTGAAATAATTATCACAAACGTGTTAAAGTGTTCATAGTTGTGTAAAATAATGTGTGTTTTCGATGTATAGCCGATACATATTTCGATATATATTTGTTTTGTAAATAGCCTAGCGGTGTGGCTTTTGATTTAGTTTGTTAAATGGTGCAGGTCGCAGAACACATTAAAGCCAATTTTACCATGTTTGAACCTTGAAAAAACACAAAATGGAAGTTTGTGCACAGACGGAGCACCTGCAAACCTTACCCAAGTCGACCTGAAAAACGGTGGTCGGATGCACAGTTTACACAAACTCCACGGTTTACTTATGATATGATCTCAATTCCACCAAATCATGGAAATGCTGCATGTATGAATTGATAAATCACCTATGAATTGGTCAGTGTATTTATAATCACTCACTTTTCTGAAACACATACTGTAAATGACGTGCTGTAAGCAGATCTAATCTCTAATTTAAATTGTAAATGTGAATCATATAATTCAAATACAAGTTAATGTTTTGGGCCCTATCATACACCCGGCGCAATGTGATGCAAGGCGCGGCGCAAAAGTCTTTTGCTAGTTTCAGCTTGGCGCAAGAGTGGTTTTGAGGCGTTGCGCTACGCTGTTTGAATAGCAAATGCATTTGCGCTCATTTGTGCGCCCATAGGCGTTCTGGTCTAAAAAGGAAGGTGTTCTGAGGCACACTGCTGGCGCGTTGCTATTTTGCGAAACTAAAATAGATTTTTCATTAGACCAAAACAAACCCGGCCTCGCTTACACACTGCTTAATACGCACAAGAGAGCAATAAGCAAATATCTTTACATATGAAAAAAATTAAATATTAGGGACATAGGATATAATAAGAATAGATATAGGATATAAATATAAAGGATTAAAATATTACAAAACATATTATTTTCTAGCCTACATGAATATGAAAAATCACTGCTTTTATGTCTTCTTCATCTCAGAGGGCTTTTTCAGTTCATTTATAACAATTTGCTTTTGTATAATGTTATTATTATTAGCAGTATTATTTATTATCTCCATATTTATATTTGTTATTTAGAAATAGTTTTGAAACAAATATTTGCGCTTAACAAACAAAATTAATTATTTATAGGCTAATTGATGTCTGTGCGTAAAGGTTTCCCTATCTAAGAGCGAAAGTGAAAGTAGATCGATTATCTCTCATTCTCATGCAGTAGATGCTCTGTTTAACAGTTTTCTGTTTAAAAAAACTGTTAACTGTTTGCTAGTGAAATGCTTTCCACTTAGACTTACTTTACGTCCTGTAAATAGCGAATGCGCTTATGGCGCGACGCAGCTGGCTCTTAAAGGGAATGGGAGATGAGACTCTAATTGGTTTATTCTCAAAACACACCTATAACTCTTAAGAAAATAAACTCAACCCTTGAAAGTGGATTTTCCCATCTTTAAATTAGCAAAAATGTGTTCTGACACGCCCTGAAAGCGTTTGCGCCCTGCGTTTTGTGCTCTGCGCATGGACCGTCAAAATAGAGCTCTTAGATTTAAAGAGAGAGAGCGGGGATAGTTGTAACACTTACAATCTCTACGACAAGGAACTAGTTACAAATCAGCTGATTCACTTCACACATGCTCATTTTAGTCCTCATACCACATATGAAAAAGTCCTGTGACAGACACAGCAGATATTAGACAGAAAAACTACACTTCAGCTAAGATTAGCTAATTAATTATTTTTAAGATATCATTGCCTGATTTGTAGTTAAACCCATGTAATCTGTGTGTCTGATTGTGGATATACTTAATCCACATTGTTGGTGATAATGTTTTAGCTGTTAGCTGTAGGAGAACAGATTCATGGCCACATAATGCTGGGTCAGTTGAAACAACAAAAGCTAGTAACTTGCAAGTCACATCAGTGAAATGTTACCACCAACCCCAAGCAGATTTAAAACTGTATTTATATGATTTAATTTCAGTATTGCTATAGCTTATAAAAGAGAAAGTCAAAAGTAGTTTGAGTTCAGTGTTTGACCTCTGTGGGCTCATGAAGCCTGCAAACACAAATAGTGTTCAATTGTTGAAGCTGATGCACATTTGCACATTTCATTCAGCTTTGTAACACAGAGACACACAAACTATACTGAAAGCTCAATGCTGAATAAAAAGCTTTCGAATCCATTTTTATGTCATAATTCTCATTTTATAATGTTACAACTAACCCAGACTGTGGGCTGAATTGTAACATTTCACTCCTCCTGTTTGAGGGCTTACTCACACTATGTACAGTTGCCTTGAACCGGGCCGAAGCAAACTTGTCCCCCCTCCCGTCTCACCCGACGGCCCGCACTCACATCGCATTTGAGACTGAGCATGCTTACGTCATCAATGATGCACAGTTCAGTAAGAAGCGCTCTCACTCAGCACAGTGGAAATTTCTTTAGTTATATCGTTTTCAAAAGTTCACACTTAGCTGATGACTGATTATAAGCAAGTTTAGCATGCTGTCCCGGGAGAGAGACCTGAGCTCAAAAGGTCCTTGAGCCCTGGGCTCCCTCCCGTTTGCCTCTCCCCTTGATATGAGCTGATGACTAAAATAAATGCTATGAAGAGATATGCTGCTGGATGAGAGTTTGACTGTAGTGCTAAATTTAGATTGATCAATTCACTTGACAATTGGACACCGGAGAACCCAGGGAAAACCCACGCGAGCACAGGAAGAACATGCAAACTATTAGGGATGCACCGATATGGATTTTTTGGCCGATACCGATAACCGATAATTCTTCAGACTTGGAGGCCGATAGCCGATATATATAGGCCGATAATTATAAATTTCAAAATGTTATATTTTTACACAGCAAACTTCATAAAAGCTGAAACTCCGCTCTTTTGAACTGAATAGCCTATACTCAAAGCAAAAAAGCTATGATTTCAAAAGTATATATTCAATTATATATAACCTATATTCACGATTTCACACAAATCAGCATGCAAAAAATATATTATTTCATTTTCTTCATAGCAAATTAACATGCAAATTGACTGTTGCATAAAATTAAAAAGGTTAAATAACAAAATAGGATTTAATTAACAAGCAAGTTAAATATATTTTAAATAAGATGAAATTTAAAGAGTTAAGGACTAAAACCAGCTCAAATGTTCTTGAATAAAACGGGTTACAGTAATGTACATGTGTACAAATATGTCATGTCCGAAAACGCCTTTTTTTAGAGGTGTTTTGACAGTTCAGAGCCACAGTACAAGTGATAAGCTAGATACAGAATGTATTATTTTTAAAAATGCGACATAAATTCATCCTATTTGGCGTTTTAGATTCTTTTGAACACATGTAGTATCAACGCTTGCGTTCGTTCTTGCTGTCAATCGCGGGGAAAATGATCGATGGAAAGTTTATGATAAACCGCTGTGAGGGTGCAGATTTGCCCTCGGATTTTGATACAAACCTGATCATTGAGCTCAGATGACTTTATGGCAAACACAGAGCAGAATATAAAGACAGAACGTGTGGCCCGTATGCTGGATTCAGTGACCGGTGCACCTAGGCTCTCCCCTGTTGATCTGTGAAGGCTCAAGATCTATGTGTGTGTGTGAAGGCTGTCAGATCTATGTGTGTGCGCTCGTGCGGTGAAAGCTCTCGCGCGCTTGTTATAATCAATATGAATATTCTGATCAACACATGGGAAACGCGTTGATAACAAATAATTATATTAGACTAAAAACTTTCCGTAAAGTTTTTGTTTAGCGCGTCACATGTGCAGGTCAGTTTGGTGTGTGTGTGTATGTGTGTTTGTGTGTGTGAAGCGAAGAGGGAGAGACAGAAAAGAGGAGCGCTTTTTTCGGGTCCTCGTTCATTCACCGGCTGCAACTAAAAGAATTAACCCTGAAACTAATATTATTCGGCCTTGGAGTAATAAGTAAATCTCCCTGCTATCTCTAACACAACAAATAGACTGAGCAGGAAAGACTTTCATATGTAATATTTTTTCCTGAGGCGATTTGAAGCAAAATACACAATGACACTCAATCAAACATATCTACAATGATAAGGATAACGGTTACTTACTGAGTTATTAACGCACAGCAATACCACGTGAGGAAAGGACGGACTTTGAAGGAATAATCAGTGTGAGGAGAGATCCATGAACAAAT